TTTTCATCTTTGTTATCAATATCCATGTCTTGGTTTTTATTAACAAGAAGATTGATATTGTCGAGTAAATCTCGTTTTGAAACAGAAATATGACTTAAAAAAGATTTAATGTATTCAGTAAATTGGCTATATCTAGAAATTTCATAATCAGTATTTTGTGGTTCTGGATATCCTTTAAGGTAAGGATTGGTGATAAGGGATTCAAGGTCACTTCTAAGATTATTTGTTTGTTGAATCATGTTGGTATAAATTTTTTCTATATTTTCTGGCGGTACACAAAATTGGATGTGTTTGGAATCAGAAAATTGTTGCTTTGCCACATTAAATTTGTCTAAAAGAGTTTTCAACCATTCAATAATTTGTTCGTAATTTGGAATTTTTTCCTGCTGACTTTTTCTTTTTGATTTACTATCAGGAATAAAAGAATTCGCATCTTGTTCCGTTTCATGTAGCAATTTTTCAAATTTGCGTAATAATTCAACAAGCGGTTGATTTACATTCACTCTTGCATATTGATTTGGCTGGTTTTCGGAAAGATTATATTCAATATCATCTGACCGTTTAATGGAATTAAAATTTTGATAATGTTCGGTGCTTTCTTGTTTATTTTCAGAAACAAAATTTTCAATGATTTTCTGGAGAGCATTATTTGCTTGTGAAATGCTTTCCTTTAAAACCTCATTAAGTTGTTGGCACTGCTGATATTGATTCTCAAAATCGACGGTAATATCTTGGGGTAATTCTTTTTTAGAAAGAATTGCTACAAAGTCATGTGACCATTCGTTCAGTTGACTATAATCATTCTTGTCATAAAGGTCGATTTTTTCATTGAGTTTTGTGATTCCTTCATTTAGTTCTAATAAAACTTGGTCAAAAGAATTTAACCAAATTATGTAATTCCTATGTTCACCAGAATTTGCTTTTGAAATAATATCTGTCACTTGATTTTTAGCATTATGAATCTTTTGTCTAAAATTGCTTAACGTTTCATCAAACTTAATTCTAATTTGTGTTAAATTATCATTTCGAAATGAGGAATTTGTAAGATAATTTTTGAGGTATTGGCATTTTATCGTATTTCGTTATTTTAAAGTTTAATGGATATATATATATATATATATATATATCGTTATATAGTATTATTGTATGTATCACATTATTTCTGTACTATTGCTTAACTAAATAGATAGTATGTACGGATATGTAAAAACATTTACCATCTGAATCGTCTTTTTTATTTGTCATCATTTTTAGTTGGTTTCGGACCTTTTTTTTTCCATAGAATCATAAGGTTAAGAAAGTATATGAGTGACAGAGAGGAAAACTTGTAACTGATTCACCAAATTTTGCCTTATCGAACAAAATTAATCTCTAATGGATTAAATGTGTAAAGTTGATCGTTCTAGTCACTTCAGTGTCTTTTGATCATCAATTAATACATCTTTTTAATTTTTTTACGGATAAATAATATTGTGGCTTTAAAAAAAATGAATAGGTTCTTCAAGTTAGTGAATTATTCCTCTTCTGTCACTCATATGTCGATGTTTCCAGTTTCTCGGGCAATTGTGAGATTCTTTTTCCAGTGGTTTTTTGAGCTCATATGGGGATTGGACTAGGAAAACCACCGTCTGACATTTGCTTTCAAGTGGGAGTTTTCCCATATCTGCTTGTCTTTTGACCCCACAAAAGTTTTTTTTTTAACTTATTTTATAAATTACATGTAAATAACCTAATATTATAATTACATTGAAAAGACACGTTTATCAATTTGATTTTTGACCTAAAGTTCCGGCGGATATTCGCGTTATAGTTAGTATAGATAAAATGAAAATTGGATTCAATTTTATGGTTAGCGTCTACTTTATTTAATTAATCGTTTTTATTCATTTCTCCGTACTTACAAAGTGCTTATTTTTTAGTGAGTGCATAAACATCGTAAACTAAAATCTGATCGTAATATTTAAGAAAGTAATATGAGTGATGGAAAAGGAAAACCTGTAAATCGAATCATTAACTTTCACATTATCGAACTTAAATTGATTTTGAAATGATTAAATGTGATCAAATACGTGTATGGTTAATCGCTATAGTCGCTTTGATGTGCTTTATATATCTTTTTACGGTAAATAATTTAGCGGTTTTTAACAAAGAAAGAAGACTCCTTAGGTAAAAGCTAATGAATCAATTGGCATGTTTTCCCTTTCTGTCGCTCATACGATATTTAAGTTGGAAGATCATCATCGTTCGGAGTAGCGTTTCCAGTTTCTCCGGTATTTATTTTTCATATTTGATTCCACAAAAAATAAACTTCAATTCTTTTATATATCAAGTATTAATAATCTAATATCATAATGGAATATCTTTATCTTGAAAGACGTGTTTGTCAATTTGATTTCGTACCAGAAGTTCTGGTGGGTATTCTCGTTATAATTGCATAAGAAAAATGGAAAATTATATTCAATTACATGGGTTAATCGATTTTGTAGATTAATCTATTCTATTTTCTTTTTATAGTTAGTGTCTACTTTATGTAATTGATCGTTTTTATTAATTTCTCTGTATTCACAAAGTGCCTATTTTTTAGTAAGTTCATGAACATCGCAAATTAAAATCTGATCGTAATATGAGTGATTGAAAAGGAAAACCTGTGAATTGAATCACTAACTTTCACATTACGAACTTAAATTTATTTTAAAATGATTAAATGATCTAATACGTGTATGGTTAATCATTCTAGTCATTTGATTTTCTTTATCTATCGATCAAATACATCTTTTTACGGTAAATAATTTGTCTGTTTTTAAAAAAAATAGAAGATTCTTCAGGTGAAAACTAGTAGTTTAATTGGCAGTTTTCCCTTTCCGTCACTCATACGATATCTAAACTAGAAGATCGTCATCGCTTCGAGTAGTTTCCAATTTCTCTTGTATTTATTTTCATATCTGATTCCACAAAAAATAAATATTACTTCTTTTATAAATTATGTATTAATAACCTAATATCATAATGGAATATAATTATATTAAAAGGCGCGTTAATCAATCTGAATTTTTTCAGAAGTCCTGGCGGATATTCTTGTTGTAATTGGCATGGGAAAAATGGAAAATCATATTCAATTTTATGGATTAATCGATTCTATTCTGTTATTACATTTTAGTGGGTTGAGGACTTTTTTTCCCATAAACATCGCAAATCAAAATCTTACTGTAATTTTTCAATAAAGTCATCCAAGTAAAGAAAGGGAAACCTATAAATTGATTTACCAATTTACGCCTTATTGGATTTAGATAAATCAGAAATGATTAAATGTAAGCAGATACGTGTATAGTTAATCATTCTAACCACTTTGATATTCTTTGACCATCAATCAATGCATCATTTTGCAATAAACGATCTGGTATCTCTTAAAACAAAAAGAGCAAATTATTCAGGTGAAATTTAGTGAATTAATTTGCGGGTTTTCCCTTTCCATCAGTAATACGGCATTTGAAATAGGAGATCGTCATCTTTGCGGAGTAGTGTTTCCGGTTTATAAACATTTTCAGGTGGCCTTTTAATCTTAAATATATTTATTTTTTCATATTTAATCCCATGAGGAAAATTTTGCTTCATTTATAAGTCGTGTATTAATAACTTAATATTAGAATGGCATATCTTTATATTGAAAGACGCGTTTATCAAATTGAGTTTGTACCTGAATCCCCGGCGGATATTCGCGTTGTAGTTGGTATAGGTAAAATAGAAAACTGCGTTCAATTTATGAATTAGTGTCTGTTTTATGTGATTAATCGTTTATTTATTTCTTTATATTTGCAGATTTTGGAACAACTTTTTCGGTAATCCTAATACTGATGAATTGAGTTTAATCATTTAATCCTCGTTGTTTAATATTATATATAAATGCATATATACCTTTGGATAATGGGCATAGGGTTTCTCATATGCACATGTTGGAACTTGCAATATTATTAGTAATGAGGATTGGCTTGGTATAAAAGGCCCCAAAAAGATTCCCACTATATTACAATATGATGAAAATTTTGAAAATGTTATATCATGGGGATTTGCTGCCATGGCTAGCGAACCTAAACGTAAAACGAAAACTAAATCTACTCCATCAAGTCTTGTCGAACTTTTCAAACTCCATTTAGGAAACATTCCGAATGAGCAAAAACCAGTATTGCCTTCACAAATTACTCCAGAAAGAGCTATTACCGATTATCTTCGAAAAATGGGTGTGTGATAATATAAATTTTATGCAATTAAATAAAATATAATCTATTAAAATAACTTTAATAAATTATAATATAGGCGAGGTTGGATTATTTTTCACATATTTTGAATTGAGTTCTTTCTTATTTGTTCCAGTTCGACATATTTTTTATATTTTATAGATCATTAAAGAAAAAGTTAAATGTCATTGGCCAGATATTGACTTCTTTAGAATGGTACGATTAGTGGTTACAGTACCCGCAGGTAATTTATTTACATTACTATATTATTCATTGTAATTTAATGAATCAAGTGGTATTTGGAAACTACAGAATTTACTGAAGAGACGAAGTTGATCATGAGACAGTGTATATATGATGCTAATTTAATCAATAACTCTGGAACACAAAATTAAAGTTTACTACCGAGCGTAAGTGATTGAAAATTTTATTATTAATCATTTATTAAGAGTAAACAAATATATATATATTTATCTATTAAATTGAAAACTTAAAAAATATTTTAGCCGAAGCTGCAGCCGTACATTGTCTTAAAGAGTTAAAACCGAATGGATTAAAGGCTGGAAGTATGTAAATTAATTGAAATTAATCAAATTTTCAGACGACGATAAATTTTAAAATTATGAATATTGCCTTTTTAAATAAGACAGTTATTTGGTCGTTGACTGCGGTGGTGGAACAGTAGATTTGACAGTCAGAAAACTGCTTGAGAGTAATCAGCTTGAAGAAGATACAGAACGATCTGGAGATTTTTGTGGTAGTACTTATGTTGACAGAGAATTTTTAAAGTTTCTCGAAGACAAGGTCGGGAAAAATGCAATGAAAATGTTACGTGAAAAACATTATGGTCAATTAAGTTATATAATCCAGCAATTTTGCGATCGTGTCAAGATTCCGTTTACCGGAGAAAAGTCAGAATTTAGAAAATATAGTTTGGATATTGAAACAAAATGCCCAGCTTTAAAACAATATGTTTCTGGTAGTGCTAAAGATGAATTGTCAGATGAAGATTGGGAAATTGACATTGACTTTGCAACCGTTAAAAGCTTTTTTGATCCTGTTGTCAATAAAATTCTTCGACTAATAAGTGCACAACTAGATAAAAGTGCGTGTTCGGTAATGTTTTTAGTTGGAGGTTTTAGTGAATCTAAGTATCTTCAACAAAGAATTAAGCAACAGTTTTCAGAGTATAAAGTTGCAGTACCACCATATCCTATAATAGCAATAGCAAATGGAGCAGTTGAATATGGGATAGACATGGATGCTATTAAAAATCGAGTATTAAAATGGACCTATGGAGTTGCAATTTATCCAGAATTTCAAGAAGGAGATCCTCCATCACGTAAAAATTCCGACGGACATATACAGAAGTTTCATTTGATGGCTAAAAGAGGCATCCAGGTGGAAATAAATCAACAATTTTCCACCAGACAATGTCCAGTTGAACCGGATCAAACACAGATACGTTTTAGATTTTATTATTCCTCAAGGGAAACAGCACAATACTGTGACGAGGATGGAATGAATAAATTAGGAGAGTTTTTGATTGATTTACCAGACACACATTTAGGTATTAATAGGCCTGTATTACTTAGTCTATATTTTGGATCAATGGAAATCATTGCAATAGCAAAGAATGAAACAAATGGGAAAATCTATCGAACAAAATTTAAATTAGATTTATAGATTTATTTTATTCCTCATTTAAATATTACTATATTGAATATTATATTCTTTAAATGTATTTAGGCTTCATTTTATTTTTATATTTCATATGAATTTTAAGATTCCAAAATACGTATAAGATTTAAATGTTATAAACACAATAAAACTTTGGATAATTTTAATATGTCTATTATTATATTTGACGAATATAATATGTCTAACGATAAGCATCGAATGATTTTGATACCATTTGGTTTGTCTAACCTAATGTTACAGGCTGACTATTGGTTAGTTGATTTAGCTGGCTAAGGCTAAGTTGATCTTTTTTTTTTGGAAAGTCGGCTTAATCGACCAGAGTTAAATCACCACCTAAAAAAATTCAGTTCACGCGGTTTACTCATTCACATATTCAAAAAATTTAATAGTTAATTATAATATAGCTTTTATGAAAGTTTATTAATAACCATCTTATGATAATTGATATCTGATATATCGTACTTATTAAATCTTATGATTTGAAATTTTTAGGTGCGGTTTTTTACCACTTAATCGATTAAGCTGATTTTTGTAACATCGACTTAGACTGTCGATGGTTTATGCCTTGACTACTAACACTGGTCTCATCCAGTATTTCACATGGGCTAGACTATCTATGGAATTCATCTCGCATAGGCTGTCCTTGAATACTAATATGAGTTTCAAAATTTCGGATCCATATGAAGTCAGGTTATGCTCAAAATATTTAGATTCAGATCATAAAAAGTCTATATCAGGAACATAGTAAAGTGTATGGTTAAATTCGAGTTTGGTGTTTGTCGTAAATAGGGAAAATTCCACTTTTGCTAATATTTATTGTTCCAAGGTGATACAATCATTAACGTCCTTGTTTCCCAAGGACTTTTGTTATATATGAATTGCTCGAATTACAAATATAGTATAAATATTAAAAATAATTGTCACGGGGATAGTCATTTTGTCGGCTTTTTTTTTTTTTTTTTAGGGTTAAGTTAGGATTTAGGGTTAGAGTTATTAATAAAAGAGTATAGGTGGATTTTGGTAGGCTGAATTTTTTTTGTTGTTAATAAAAGAGTATAGGTAGGCTGATTTTTTTTGTAGTTAATGAAAGAGTATAGGTGGATTTTGGTAGGACTTATATTTTCAAATTGAGACACTCAAATTTCAGCATCATCCGTGCGACAATAATTATCGCTGTTTGCATATTGATGCAACCCCCATAAAATTTGTAGATCTCTGCATACCCCGATTGTTCGATTGCAATCGATTGTACGCGATTGTACGTGATTGTATGCAATTGTACCCGATTGTTTGATTTATTTGTAAATGTATAACAAAAATTATATAAAAAATATAAGTTTTTCTTTATTTTAATAAAATAATTATGGATTACCTTATAGGTACTTGCTACCAGTGTGCAAAGTGTCTTTATTGCTAAGAAGTTTTTTTGAAATCTTCATTTGAATGTGATAAAAATATAGGACCTACAACATGAAATCATACAAAATTAGTTCTATATGCTTTTACAATCATTTTAATACAAGATATAATGATAAACAAATTAAACTCTTAGCAGATTCAAAGACAAAATATAATTATAATACAGAGTTTACAGAAAATTTCAAATTTTCATTTTGTTCTGCGTGTAATAATAAATGGTATTGTATTGGTAAAGCTAAACTGACAAAAACAAAGTCAACTAATCTACAAAATCTAAGTCGACTAGATTAACAAACTCAAAATTGACTAAATCTATTAGTCCTACTGAATATGCATCTTTTAATACCAATAATCATATTACCAACATATCTGAAACAGAAACCAACAAACTTGATGATCATACAACTTTTGATACTAATAATTATATTATCAACATACCTGAGATCAATGGTCATACCACTTTCGATTATAATACACCAATATGAGATGAATTTGAAGATCTTTTAGATGAAGATGTCGAAGTATCAGACTTAGAGAATGACAATTTTAGCAGACAGTTAGATGAGTTAGATAATAAAGATAATAAGTATGAAAGTAAAGAATTTTTACATAAACTATGTATTAAAAATCAAGATAATACTACATTACCTGTCAAATGATTAACCATTTTAGCAGATTCTTTTGGCAACTTCCATTATCAAATTCTTTCACATCTTTTAATATCAATTAAATATATCTATTATTATCCAAAATGATTATGTATTATCATATAAAGTGACAAAAGAAACTGGGTCAAAAACTCAAATTATCAATGAGAGTGATTTTAAAAGTTTACTTAAAGATTATAATCAGCTTACAAATAGAAAAAAAGAAGTTTTTATTAATATTCAAATGCAGCAATCTTTAAAAAGCAATACAAAAAATGATTATACAGATCAGTATATAATTACATTATTTTTTTACAGAATTTAGGCTGTTTGAAATAACTATATCATTTAATGTTTTTCTTTCACTACTCTTAAGAGATAAAACAGACAAGCCAATCAAAATATTCATTATTAAGAGCAGTGAACACTTCTAAAATAAATTCTATTTTATTTTAATATTTTTTTTTAGCAATCAAATTCAATTTTTAAAATAATTTGAGATATGGTTGATTGGCTAAAATAATTCTATTTTATTCTTAACAGAAATATTTACTATTCCTGTTAGAGTTGTTGATTTATATAATCTTTATATAATTTATATATAAGTTATAGTAATTTACATGTAATTTACCAATATAAATTATTGTAAAATAAGTTTAGTCCCAATCATTATATCTTTGAGATTTCAATCGATTTTTGAGATGTTTTTTCTTACTGTACTTAAGCTTCAAAAAGATGTACATCTATGTGTCTACCACCTGATTTATAAATCACACTTTTTATCCAATCAGTATTCATCATATCGAATTTATATGAATGATCTGTATATAATGTTAAAATTAAAAAAATTAAACAGTTTTTTAAAAAATTACTTTTATCTTAAAATTTCACTTATAAACCAACTTTTTCATTCTAATAAAAAAAATTCCTTGTAAAATTTTAGTATATTTTTTTTTTAAAACTCAACTTTTATCTCAACATAACCCTAACACTAATTATAGTATTTTTTTTTAAAAAAAAAATAAATAAGTATTGAAATAACATCTGTTCTGCTCATTTCACCAATAGTCATTTGTAGACATAACATTTTACTGACAAAAATTTACTAACAAATATTTTACTAACAAGTTTATTTCATTGACAAGTTCATTTTACTACAGTTAATTTTACCGAAGCTCATTTCACTAAGAAAATAATTTTGGTTATTGTTGTTAAGGTCAAGTTAGAATTAGAGTTAAAGTTGGTAGGATTTATAAAAAAATGTTTATATTTGAAATAAGCTTTAGTAAAATAAACTGTTGGTGAAATAAACTTGTCAGTAAAATAATTATTAGTAAATTTTTGGCAGTAAAATGTTATATCTGCAAAATAACCGTTGGTGAAGTAATATGTATCTAATAAAATAAACAATGCCAATCATTTATATTTTAAGTGGAGGAAACATAGATGTATCCTTCGAAAAGAATGCTAAACAAAATTAGAATTTCAGACAGTTATGCCAAAACAACAATACTTTATTATTATTTTTTTTTTTAGTCAAGGTTAGCCTTTTTGGCTTCTCGCTTTTATTAGATTTATAGGATCATATAGTGTGCTTTTCAAGAGGGCTCCAGACAAGTACATTCTGACGAGAATATATTCTAACCATACTTGTGCCTTTTGAGCACCTAATTAAGTATCTACCGATTACTAGTTTCTATACTAGATGCCGTACCTATAAACCACTATTACCTAAGTTACCTAATTAAATCCTCTGATCTGAGTTTTCCTGCCAATCCATCTAATCTTACCCAGAATATGCGATACATGAGTTAGTTCAAGTTCTAAGATTTTTGCATGCCACCTATAGGACTACTGGCATGGTTAACTAATTCATCCTCAAGTGCATCATCTGCTAGAGCAGTCTGATCCCACTATACCATATTACCTAATCTTCTTCAGTAACTTACGCTGAGTCTAAAAACAAGTACTTGCGAGCTGAGGCAACTAAAGTTACCTACTACTGCCCTTATAGAGTTTGCCTAAACCCCAGCATCCACTATACAGACTATCTACCATATATCCATCATCCCAAACTTCCAATCCAGATGGTCCAGAAGGGCTGTGACCTGCTCTTGGTCCACATTATTGGGTTCTTTTCCTTGGTTATTCTCTGGCGGCCAGGTTGGTAGAGTGCTTTGCCAAACACTTCGGTCCTATTCAGTTTTCTGGTTTCCGGTTGATAATCCTTTACATAGTACCATCGAAGATCTGTACTACCACCTCTCTACTCAGGTCTTGCCAAGTAGGCTCCCATATGTGCCAACTCTGGATTTACACAGCCGCTTCACTCGGGTTTTATGTAACTTGTACATTACACTATTGTTTCGCAGCCTCCCAGTACAGGCTGGTATGACTAGATTACAGATGTCAAACTGTCCATTTACACTCACAATCTGCCATAGCATGTTTTGGAATTCAAATTTTAGTCATTGATGGGATTCGAACTCTGATTGCTGCTACTTAGGGGTGCAACAAATTCACCACTACACTAAGTCACCACACTCACAACAATACTTTATTAATTAATTAGCTATTTTATTATTTTAGAGATCTGAAGAATCTAATAGCAATGATAACTTAAATAAAAAAAACTATGTTTATTTAGTGCAAAGCCTAAAGAATCTCAGCTTGATAATAACAAATGTATTATGTTATTTACTATTTATCAAATTTGTGAAAAATATTTTTGCACTAATTGTAAAGGTTCTTGTTGAGTTACTAAAACTAGTCATGTTAAATTAACAGGTATGCACTATACAATATTGGCTTGAGCAATTGTATATAAAACTTGTTATACCTATTTATTCAGTGATATTTACTATTAACTAAAATTGTAAAATTATTTTAAATAGTTAAATAGACTAACAGATATTAATA